GGGAAAATAATTAAAATCATTTTTACAGAAAATCAAAAATATTTGAAGAAAAATTTCACGTTTTGGAAAAAAACTTTTATTAAAAAGTGAAAAAATGGAGCACAGAGATAAGATCTCTGGATTTTTGCATATAAGGGAAGAGAGAAACAGTGAGAATCGTCAGTTCTCGAATGGGAACTGGTATCCAACCGGAAGGAGCTGGAGCACTCCGAGCCGGGGCTCCGAGAGCCGAAGCAGCTGTTAGAGGTAGAATCGGAGCTGGTTGAGGTGGAATCGGAGCTGGTGGAGGTGAAATCATAGCTGGTGGAGGTGGAATCGGAGCTGGTGGAGGTGGAATCGGAGATGATGGAGGTAGAATCGGAGCTGGTGGAGGTGGAATCGGAGCTGGTGGAGGTGGAATCGGAGATGATGGAGGTAGAATCGGAGCTGGTGGAGGTGGAATCGGAGCTGGTGGAAGTAGAATCATAGCTGGTGGAGGTGGAATCGGAGCCGGTAGAGATGGAATCGGAGCTGGTGGAGGTGGAATCGGAGCTGGTGAAGGTGGAATCGGAGCTGGTGAAGGTGGAATCATAGCTGGTGGAGGTGGAATCGGAGCCGGTAGAGGTGGAATCGGAGCTGGTGGAGGTGGAATCGGAGCTGGTGAAGGTGGAATCGGAGCTGGTGAAGGTGGAATCATAGCTGGTGGAGGTGGAATCGGAGCCGGTGGAGGTGGAATCGGAGCTGGTGGAAGTAGAATTATAGCTGGTGGAGGTGGAATCGGAGCCGGTAGAGGTGGAATCGGAGCTGGTGGAGGTGGAATCGGAGCTGGTGGAGGTAGAATCATAGCTGGTGAAGGTGGAATCGGAGCTGGTGGAGGTGGAATCGGAGATGATGGAGGTAGACATCGGAGCTGGTGGAGGTGGAATCGGAGCCGGTAGAGGTGGAATCGGAGCTGGTGGAGGTGGAATCATAGCTGGAGGAGGTGGAATCGGAGCTGGTGGAGGTGGAATCGGAGATGATGGAGGTGGAATCATAGCTGGTGAAGGTGGAATCGGAGCTGGTGGAGGTGGAATCGGAGATGATGGAGGTAGAATCGGAGCTGGTGGAGGTGGAATCGGAGCTGGTGAAGGTGGAATCGGAGCTGGTGAAGGTGGAATCATAGCTGGAGGAGGTGGAATCGGAGCCGGTGGAGGTGGAATCGGAGCTGGTGGAGGTGGAATCGGAGATGATGGAGGTAGAATCGGAGCTGGTGGAGGTGGAATCGGAGCTGGTGAAGGTGGAATCGGAGCTGGTGGAGGTGGAATCGGAGATGATGGAGGTAGAATCGGAGCTGGAGGAAGTAGAATCATAGCTGGTGGAGGTGGAATCGGAGCCGGTAGAGGTGGAATCGGAGCTGGTGGAGGTGGAATCATAGCTGGTGAAGGTGGAATCGGAGCTGGTGGAGGTGGAATCGGAGATGATGGAGGTAGAATCGGAGCTGGTGGAGGTGGAATCGGAGATGATGGAGGTAGAATCGGAGCTGGAGGAAGTAGAATCATAGCTGGTGGAGGTGGAATCGGAGCCGGTAGAGGTGGAATCGGAGCTGGTGGAGGTGGAATCATAGCTGGTGGAGGTGGAATCGGAGCTGGTGGAGGTGGAATCGGAGCTGGTGAAGGTAGAATCGCAGCTGGTGGAGGTGGAATCGGAGCTGATGGAGGTAGAATCGGAGCTGGTGGAGGTGGAATCGGAGCTGGTGAAGGTGGAATCGGAGCTGGTGAAGGTGGAATCACAGCTGGTGGAGGTGGAATCGGAGCCGGTAGAGGTGGAATCGGAGCTGGTGGAGGTGGAATCGGAGCTGGTGAAGGTGGAATCGGAGCTGGTGGAGGTGGAATCGGAGCTGATGGAGGTAGAATCGGAGCTGGTGCCAGGTAGAATCATAGCTGGTGGAGGTGGAATCGGAGCCGGTAGAGGTGCAATCGGAGCTGGTGGAGGTGGAATCGGAGCTGGTGAAGGTGGAATCGGAGCTGGTGGAAGTGGAATCGGAGATGATGGAGGTAGAATCGGAGCTGGTGGAAGTAGAATCATAGCTGGTGGAGGTGGAATCGGAGCCGGTAGAGGTGGAATCGGAGCTGGTGGAGGTGGAATCGGAGCTGGTGAAGGTCGAATCGGAGCTGGG